TATCTATCTATCTATCTATCTATCTATCTATCTATCTATCTATCTATCTATCTATGTTACCCCCCGGGGCGGTGCTACTGACTGAAGTGTCTTTAGACCATTCCCAAAGGGGGAATAGGATCACTAAAATTAATGTTACAGCAACCATGCCTACATATTTAAGTGAGGCAGCGTGGTGGAATCAGGCTCTCGTCAATTTTTAGGCATGTAGAGTTATTGGTATCAATTAAAGCTTGTTCACTTGTCTTTATTTTGATTTTTTTAAAATATCCATTTATCTTGAATACATGTCGAGATATTTGCGAATGAAGGAGGTAGGGGTCACCTTTTTTTCAGAGGTAAAATTAGAGAGAAAATGGCGGCCATTAGTTAATTCCTTAGCTTAAGAGTCCGTGGTAACTGAAACATTATATTTTTTGTGCCTTTGATCAACGTTTTTCAGAAAAATCCACACAGAAATGTGTTCTTTAATGGGCATGAAAGGTGTTGAGCCAAAGAACAAACATCTGACAAAAATTCACCAATCTGTGGAAAAATGCAAGTTTCTTCACTTTGATTATTTTGATGAGAGCCTGATTCCACCACGCTGCCTCACTTCGCTCATTTGGAGACAGCGACATCTCCCTGCCCCCATATCTCAGTGTAAGCTAGTAGAGTTCCTTCCATAGAGTTACCCCCTTTTAAATAGTGTACATCTATGGTTCCTCCCAACGATGTCTAAACATCTTCCCGTGCATTTCGGAGAAGTTCAACTCTCCCGTCTGTTGGAACATGTTTCTTTGGCATAGGTTGACCAAAATACACATCAATATTTCAAATGTTTTAGGTGTAGGCTATAAATCGCCTATTATTCTTTTTACCCACTACGGGCTTACACGTGTCGGAACCAAAATAGCTGTTTACTTTCGTCTGTCCGCGTTAAAAATGTTTCGCTCACATGTACCTAAGCTTACGAAACTTCTTTCATCAGCTAAACAAAATTACATGTAGTGTTTCTTTTTTAAAAAGCCCTGATCGAGTCATAAAAAGTCCCTCTCCTTGCGCCCCAAATTAAAACCCGTTCTTAGGATGTAGACACAGGATCATTAAAATAAATGGCTCAACTCACCCTCTCACTATACGCACTTCCCGATCTCAAAACAGTCTATAGATGGTCTCGGGACGACCTCAAGACGATCTCAAAACAGTCTGTAGATGATCTCGGGATGGTCTCAAAGATGGTCTCACGATCGGATCCGTGAGTGATCTCATCTGTGCCAACACACTACACGCGTACAGGCCAGCACATTATCAAAATGGCTCCCACCCAAAGTGATGTTACTGAAGCCTGTATAGTTTTGAGCATTTCTCTAAAGAAAAAATAGGCGAAATAATATTGATCTAATCATTATGGTGCAAACAATGGCTTCTTCTGCTGGTGGAATTCACTAACACGCATGCAACTGATGTCGTGACTTTGTTGGATTTTAAAAATGTACAATTTTTTTTTCATTTCCCTACATTTTTCGAAAAAAAAATCCGTGGCCGAACCAAGGCTCGAACCTGGACTTTCTACTTTGGAGACAAGCGCACTAACCACTCCTCAACCATGCCACTGTAAGCTACAGGCTTTAAAAATACTGCAATTATAGATCTTATATAATAGCGCTTTGCGGCCGTGTTGCCGCCGTGAACATCCCCACCATCAACAAGAATTTAACTAAGAACACAGAGATGGAAAACAAATGCAACTCTTCTCGTAACAATTTTTCTCAAACTGCCGTGGCTCACCGTGAGTATAGAAAAATCATCACAGTTTAATTCTTATTGCTTGCTATTTGGTAAAGAACTGGAAGCAACCTAAGGCCCACCAAAATGTTGGTCCACCCACCGCCACTGATACTACATGTATCATG